GCCTCCAGCCAGCAGGGGCATCACTATGGCTTGTCCAGCATCAGGTGGGGGGCCTGAGAGGAACCGGAGTGGACAGAGTAGTGGGGGCGTGTGCAAAGTGTGAGCAGAGAGCAGTTCTATGTCTTAGCCACCAGCTGCCACCCTGGTGCATGCCAGCAAATAGAGGCTCGGGGGCCAGCCAGCGGTTAAGGCAGCTGGATCCCCACATAGTTGATTGACCGGTTCAAATCCCCAACCCAATGGCTTGAAAAACACACCAGGCGTGTATGCATGCATGTCCAACATCCCAGAAGGAGGGAGAAATGGGGGAGAAGTGATTGCGACATGGCCATCCCCTGGGGTGTTTTCTCTGGCAAGTTGGAGAAACAAAACAAAACAAAATGAATACAGGTCGGCCTTGTGGCCTAGTGGTTAAGCAAGACAAATCCCACATGGCCGACCTCAGTTACAATCCTAACCCCGGTGGATCAAAAAACATGCTCCACACATGTATGTGTGCGCCCCAAGTCCTGACAGGATGGCGAGATGGGGAAGGGACTGTGGCGTGACCATGATCTGGTGGGGCTGCTTTCTCCCCGTCTCTGTCTCTAACCATCAAAAAATATATGGGACCATGGACCAGCAGTTGGCGTAATGGCTAAGTCGCTGGACTCCCATGTAGTCGACCACAGTTTGAGTCCTGGACCTGGTGGCTTAAACTCACGCCGGGCGCGTGTACTTGCGTGCCCAAGATCCCGAGAGGAGAATGGCGGAGAAGGGATTGCAGCATGGCCATCCCCCCTGGGGGGTGATTTCTCAATTTCTGTCTCTCTGTCTTTCTGGTGAGATATATATACATATATGTATGTATATATATATATTAAAGAGTTATTTAACTTCATTTATTTATTTTACTTTGACCTGAGAGGGGCAGAGCGAGCGAGAGAGAGAAAGTGAGAGAGCAAGCCGCCAGGTCCAGGACTCGAACCACGGTCGACCATGTGGGAGTCCAGTGCCTTTAATCACCATGCCACCTGCCGACCCCAAAAACAATGTATATTTATACATTTATACACATGGACGTGCACAAGCACCTGTGTGCGTCCGCCACGTGAAAGGGGGCGTTCTGGTGTCATGCTGGGGGGAGTTCTGCCTTCTGAGCCCCCCCGCCCACAGGAGGCAGCGAGGGACCACTGTGCCGTGGTGGCCTTGTACAGAAGCCACCTGCTGTACGCCATTCAGGTGAGTCCCCAGCCCCCAGCTCCGGCTCTGACCCTGCCTCTGCGCCTCCATTTCCCCACCTGGACCGAGGGAAGGGGGCTGTTGTGGAGAGAGGTCATTGGTGGGTGGGGCCTCCCCTGCCTTCTCCCTAGGCTGGGTGGTCTTGGTGGGGACAAGGAGTCGCTGGGGCAGGGTGCCGAGGTCTCTGCTCCTCCCCCAGGGCCAGATGGACGAGGATGTTCAGGGGATCCTGGGCCAGATCCTGCAGATGCAGAGGCTCCAGGCTCAGGGCCGCTGAGGCTGCCAGAACTCCACCTCCACCTCGGAGCACCCCCAAGCCCTGCCTGCCTCCCCCACACCCCAGGGCTACCAGGCCCTGCACTTCTGCCACCAGCTGGGGCCCTTCCCTATCGTCCCTGGCTGGCGTCATCACCCCACCTGGTCACCCTGGGCCTGGGTCCCCCACCCCGCCCACACCACCGGAGAATCTGTGAGTCCCCACGTCCCCCGGTCGCGTCCCCAGACGCCGAGCAGGAATAAAAAAGCACACTGTGCCCCCGTGACGGTGTGGCCCCTGCTGAGGTCTGTCTGCGAGGGGGGGCCGCGGCCACAGCAGGAGCCCTGAATGCTCAGCCCCGAAGGGCGGGACAGCTCTGGCCACTGCCCAGGGGGGGCTGGGCTCCACAGGGCCACCGCGGTTCGAATCCCAGGCGGGAACACACGGCCTGCACATGAGCGCTGGGGAGCTGGAGGGCTGGAGGGCACTGTGGCCGGGCCGGCCCTGTGAGCCGCCTCTGCAACATCCCGCACGCCTTGCCACGCATTCAACCAACTGTGGGTGAAAGATGGTTGAAAAGGGAGGTGCAGGGGCCAGCCGCTGGCGTAATGGTTGTGTTGCTGAACTCCCACATAGTTGACTGCGGTTCAAGACCCAGACCCGGCTGCTTAAAATGCAGGCATGTGTGCGTGCGTGCCCAAAATCCCAGAGGAGAATGGAGGAGAAGGGATTGGGGCATGGCCATCCCCCCGAGGCTGATTTCTTGCTTTGTCTCTCTCTGTCTCTCAAAAGTACATGCACCCTATAGTGAAAAATCTATAAAAAAATAAGAAAAAAGACAGGAAGAGAAAAACACCCTGGGCTTATGTGTGTGCCCAAAATGATGAGAGGAGGATGGAGGAGAAGGGATGGTGGTGCGGCCGTCCCCCCGGGGTGCTCTCTCTTTCTCTCTCTCTCTCTGGCAAGCTCCTGTGTCCTATAGCAAATTAAAAAAAAAAGAAACTAGGGGCCAACCCAGATGACCTAATGGTTACTCTGCTGGACTCCCACGTAGTCGACCATGGTTCAAGACCCAGCCCCAGACCCTGTGGGCACATGTGGGTGTGTGCCCAGGACCCAGACAGGAGAGCTTTCTGTCTCTCTGTCTCTGCTTCTCTGTCTCTGATGAGTACATGGGCTCTATAGCAAAAATCTCTCTTGAAAAAGGAGAGAAAAAGCCTGCCGTGTGGACTGGTGGTTAAAGGAGCCGGATCCCACATGACCGACCATGCCGGTTCAGTCCTGGTCCCAGTGGCTTCAAAATCACACCAGGCACGTGTGCATGCGTGCCCCGAATCCAGACAGGGTGGAGGCGAGAAGGGACCGCGGTACAGCCACACCCCACTGAGGCGCTCCCTCTCCCTCTTTGGCAATGAAAAAGCGACCACCGTGACTGGATGGTGGGGCTCACCCTGGTGGGCGGTCACCTCCCGGCGGCCCCCTCTGCCAGTGGAGTTTTCACCTGTCGCCTGTCAGGACAGGAGCCACGCCAGCACAGGGGTGTCGGGGACGCTGTCAGGGCGCCACCCCACCTGGCCTGCTGCTGGAAAAGATGAGATCCCCACGGGGTAGGGGGATCCCCTTGCCAACGCTGGCCCAGCCCCTCGGCAAACCCCCCCGAAAACCCCAGGGGCTTCTCTGCAGTTTCCCTCCCCGAGAGGAGGCAGGACTGTGGCGGGAACCCTCTGGCCCTGGGGGTTTCCCGGGGCATCCCCGTGGCTCAGAGAGTCTGCCAGTGAGGAATGCCTCCCCGGGGCCTCTGAGCCAGGAGAGACAGAGAGACACAGAGAGAGAACGTCCCTGGTCCTGTCTCTTGGTCTCTGTCTCTCGGTGTTATCGTCTCTCCTTTCCCGTCTCTCTCCTCTCCCTGACTGTCTCTACCTTCCTGTCCCTCTGTCTTTGCGCCTCTGTCTCTCTCTGCATCTCTCCCTTTCAGTGTCTCTGTCTCCATTGTCTCTCTGTGTGTCTCTCTCTTCCTGCCCTCTTAGCATCTCTCTGGCCTCGTCACTCCGTCTCCCCCATCCCTGCTTCTCTGAGCGTCCTCTGTGCTGCTCTCTCAGCGGCCTCCCTCCCTGCCTGGTCTCTCTCCTCTCCCCGTCGTCTCTGTCTCTGCCCCCACCCCCTCCCCGGGCTTCCCCTCGGCGTGGAGGCGGAAGGAAGGCTGCGGAGCCGCTGTGCTGGGAAAGCCCGGCTGAACTTCTCCCTTAGGCACCTCCTCCTGCCCCCCGGAGGGGTGGCTGGGGCCGGGCCTCCCTGCCTGCTCAGACCTCGGGAGGGGAGAAGCCGCTGGAGGTCCCGAGGTCCCACGCGAGCGCCCAGCTCCTGAGAGCCCGCGGCCATGACCCCGAGGCTCCTCCTGACCCTCGCCCTCTGGGCCGGCTCCACCTGCCGTGGAAGGGAAGGTACGTGGGACCCCGGGGGCTCTGGGGCCCAGGCCAGACGGACATGCACGGACCTCAGGCTCCTCTGGGTGGGGACTCACGTGCCTGCGGGCTGCCTGCTGGTGGGATGGGGTTCCCACCCCTTGTAGGGATGGGGAAACTGAGGCACAGGGCTGTCACTCCAGGGTGACGGCCAGGCCGGGCAGCCACGGCGGGAGGTGTCTGACCCTCAGCCACAGGAGAAGGTCTGTCTTGCAAGCATCTCTTTGGGATAACCCAGGCCGCCTGCACTTTGACCAGAAACGTAGAAAAGGGGGTACAGGGAACAGCAGACGGCATAAGAGTAACATCGTTGCACTCCCATGTAGTTGACTGTAGTTCGAGTCCCAGACTGGGCGGCCTAAAACTCACGCGGGGCATGTGAGCCTGCGTGCCCGAGATCCTGAGAGGAGACTGGAGAAGGGACTGTGGTGTGGCCATCCCCCTGGGGGTGCTTTCTCGCTTTCGGTCTGTCTTTCTGGTGAGCACATGGGCCCTAAAGTAAGATCTCTCTTGGGAACCAGCAGTTAGCGTAATGGCTATGTCGCTGGACTCCCACGTAGTTGACCGCGGTTCGTGTCCCGGACCCGGTGGCTTAAAACTCACGCCGGGCGCGTGTGCGTGCGTGCCCAAGATCCCGAGAGGAGAATGGAGGAGAAGGGATTGCGGCGTGACCATCCCCCCTGGGGGGTGATTTCTCACTTTCTGTCTCTATGTCTCTCTCTGTCTGTCTGGTGAGCGCACGCGCCCTACAGTGAAAATCTCTCAAAAAATAAATAAAAATAAATAAAGTAAGATCTCTCTTAATAAGATAAAGGACAGGGGGCCAGCAGGTGGCTGATGGCTAAGGTGCTGGACTCGCACATGGCCGACCACAGTCGAGTTCCAGAAAGTGCTCTCCCTCTCCCTCTCTCTCTTCCTCTGCCTCTCTCTGGTGAGTGCATGTTCACTATTGCAAACATAACAATAACAGTAATAAATAAGGGGTCAGCAGGTGGTGTGTTGGTTAAGAGCATTGTTACTTGGCTGACTGCGGTTCGAGTCCCAGACCTGGTGGCTTGCTTTCTCATTTTCCTTCTCTCTCTCTCTCTCTTTCACTCTGTCCCTCTCTGATCAAATTAAATTAATTAATTGAATTCAATTAAGTTTAATAAAATAATTATTTTAAAATAATTAATAAAATTAAATAAATAATTAGAAAAGAATAATTTCAGAGAAGGAAAGGCAAGGCAAGGCGAGGTCAGTGAAAAGGCTCCCTCCTCCCCGGGTTCCCCTGGTGTCCCCTTAAAGCTTAGCTCCCCCCTCTGGAAAGCGGCGACCAGTTCCTGCCTGGCAGTGCCAACCGCGGTGACGAGGACCCTAGCCTCCACGTGTCCTTCCAGCCCACTTTTATTAGGGCCCCGTCTGTGCCCGGCACTGACGGCCCAGGCAGGGCGGGGGTGACTGCGCGGGGGTGAAAGTTCACCTCTCCCTCTCTCCTCCTCCGGGGCCCCAGCACCCCCAGCCCACCCCAGGGTGCAGTGCCGAGCGCCGAGGTACCCGATCGCGGTGGACTGCTCCTGGACCCTGCCACCCGCGCCGAACTCCACCAGGCCGGTATCCTTCATCACCACGTACAGGTCAGACCCCCGGCGGGGCTGGGGACACGGGGCTACCCGGGGGGCCGTCCCTGCCAGCCCTGCAGACCTCCACAGTCCTGCCCGGTAGAAGATGACATGGCACGTGCATGTCACGGGGGTAGGCGCTGAGATAAAGAAAGGGGTAGGATACATTTTAATCTTTTACTTAAGTAACAGCTGAGTAAGGGCTGGCCCCGTAGCCTGATGGTTAGGGAAGTTGGGTCCCATGGGGAAGGCTGCGGTTCGAATCCTGGCTCCAGGGGCTGGAAGACAATAAGAACGTGCACTGTCTCAGGACCTCTTCCCAGTGGTGGCATGCTGGGGGTCAGCGGGTGGCATGGTGGCGCAGGCACTGGGCCCCACGTGGCCAACGCCACAGCTCTCGTCCGGAACCGGCGATGTGGGAAACACGCCAAGTGCAGGCATGTGCGCGTCCCAGATGTGGAGAGAATGGAGAAAGGATTGTAGGGACCAGCAGTTAGCGTAATGGCTATGTCGCTGGACTCCCACGTAGTCGACCGCGGTTCGCGTCCCGGACCCGGTGGCTTAAAACTCACGTCGGGCGCGTGTGCGTGCGTGCCCAAGATCCCGAGAGGAGAATGGAGAAGAAGGGATTGCGGTGTGGCCATCCCCCCTGGGGGGTGATTTCTTGCTTTCTGTCTCTCTGTCTCTGTCTGTCTGGCGAGCGCACGCGCCCTATAGCAAAAACCTCTAAAAAACCAGAAAGGATTGCAGCATGGCCAGCCCTCTGGGGGGTGATCCTCGCTTTCCCTCTCTCGGTCTCTTTCTGCGGAGTCCACATCCCCTATAGGGAAAATCTAAAAAGAACAAAAATCACATGTTGAAACAGTATTTTGGGTGTTCGTCTTAAACAACCTCATGTTAATTCATGAGTGTAAGCACAGACATAATTAAATGTGAATCTATAAGCGTTCAATTACATTACATGATACATATTAGGAATACTTAGCTGTTTTTTAAACTTATTTATTTCTTTTTTAAGGTTTCTGCCATAGGGCGTGTGCACTCACTGGAGAGAGACAGAGACAGGTTAAGTGAGAAATGATCCCCAGAGGGGATGGCCACGTTGCAACCCCTTCCCCCATCCTCCTGCCGGGACTCTGGGGACACATGCACACGCACCCCATGTGACCCTCAGGCCACCGGACTAGGACCGCAGTGAGCCACTGGGAGTCCGTTCACACCACCCGCTGACCCGCTTCGCTGGTTTTTAGTTGCCGGAGGGTCCATGTACTCGCAGAGACAGAGAATGAGAACGCGCCTCCCCTGGGGCGTGGTCACACATGCCCTTTCTCCTCCATTGCTCCATTCCGCGGTGTTTCGGAGTGCACACACACATACACATGCACAGCCATATGCACACACGTGCACACACATGCACACACGTGCGTACACACATGCACACATACATATGCACACACATGCACACACATGCGCACACGCACACATGCATGTGCACACACGCACACACATGCATATGCACACGCGCGCACACACAGACATGCACACGCACATATGCACACACCCGCATATGCACACACGCGCACACCTGGTATGTTTTTAGGGCCAGCAAGGCCGGGATTCAAACCACGGTTGGCCATGTGGGATCCAGCCACCTTAACAACTAGGCCACACGACCTCGGGGCCACATTTTAATTGCTCCCTAGCCCGGGTGGCTAGCTCCTAGGACCTGCGTCCAGGCAGAAGCGGGACTTGGGAACAGGCAGGAGGTTTTTACTGGAGGTGACCAGCCAGGGCCTTGACATTCAAAAGGTCCTGGCCCTTTCCCCTTCCCGGAGGGCTGTCAGAAATCAGAGAATCTCCGGTTTTCTTCAGTTTATTGATCTGTTATACCAGCGAAAGTGCGACAGAGACAGGCTCCCACATCCCGCCGCCCCAGCCCGGCCCATCCCAGACCATCCTACCTGCAGGAGCCTGGCGCTCAGGGAGGCCCGACACAGTCCCAGGGCCTTTAAGCTGGGGGTCCAGGAGGGTTGGATTCTCACGGTGGAGCCGAGCCCTGAGCCCTGGCGCTTCCCTGTGGCCCAGCGTCCTTGGGCTCCGAGGTCAGGGGAATGACGCCCAGGTACGTCTCCACGGTCCCAGCCTCTCCGTGGAGCAGCCCGGCGGGGACGGCAGCCGAGGCCCAGTTTCTCGGGCCCTCACGGTGCGCACCTCTGTCCAGGCTCGGCGTGGCCCCGCACGGGGAGAGCCGGCCCTGCCTGCAGCGGGCGCCCGGGACCCCCAGCTGCACCATCCCCGACGTCCAGCTCTTCTCCATGGTCCCCTACGTGCTCAACGTCACCGCCGTGCACGCCGGGGGCGGCCGCAGCAGCAGCTTCCTGCCTTTTGTCCCAGAGCGCATCAGTAAGTCGGGTGTGAGGGGAGGGCGCCCGGCTCCCTTCCCACCTGCGGTCCAGCTGTGGCCGCGGGACCTTGCACCTGCCCTGCCGCTAGTCTGTGCTCCCGGCTGCCGCCAGAGGGCGCCCGCGAGCGCCGGGTCAGGCCGTCCCTCTGCCCACAGGCTCCCCCCAACCCGCAGGACCCTGCATGGCCCACGCTGTCCCTCCCTGCGCTCCCTCTCACATACCAGCCTCGGGCCTGCCCCCGGGCCTCTGCACACCCGGGCCTCCACCTGGAATATCCTCCCCCAGGTCCCCACGTGCCTCCCTCTGTCACCTCCTCAGGTGGCTGCTCAGACATCACCTCCTTAGTAGGGGAACCCCGAGGACTCAAACCTGGTTAGAAATTGCAGCCCTTTGCCCATTGCTAGGGGGTGGAGAACCCAGTCTATTGTTCCTTAGAGAGTTAAAGGCGGAGCTGCCCCACGGGCAGATCTGCCCCAGGAGCCAAAGTGCAGGTGCAGCCGGCACTCAGGGCAGCACCCCATGTGTGAGGCGCCCAGGACGGGCAGGCACACGGGGCCCGGGAGGGCTGGGGGGACTGCTTTCTGAGGGTGAGGGGATGTTCTAGGGGGAGGTGGCGGTGGAGGGGCACAACTCTGTGTTCAAAACAGAGACTGTGTCTGCTTTAGAGGGGGGAGTTTTATTTTTGTTTTTGTTTTAGAGATGTTCACCGTAGGGTGTGCGCACTCGCAGGGGAGACAGAGAGCGAGAGCTCTCAGCTCCCGGGAGCCGTGTCCCCTGTATCCGGGACAGCACCCGGCACCCGTGGAGGCTCAGTCCACATCTGGTTGAATGAATGAACAACCCTGTGGTCCCCTGACCCTGCTTCCTGCCTGTCCGTCAGTCAAACCAGACCCTCCGGAAGCCGTGCACCTGCGCCCTCTCCCCGGGCAGCGGCTGCAGGTGCATTGGGAGCCCCCTCGGTCCTGGCCCTTTCCGGAGGTCTTCTCCCTCAAGTACCGGGTCCGCTATAGGCGACTGGGAGCCACGCGCTTTCGCCAGGTGAGGAGGCCGAGGGGGCTGGCGGGCCGGGCAGAGGCGTGGGGTGCCCAGCGTGGGAAGGAAGGGTTCCACTCCCGGGGGTCTGCCCCAGGGACTTGGGAAAGGACTCAGACGAGAGGTGGTGACGCCACACTCCCAGCCTCAAACACTGGACCTGTGGGAGGCAGACGGACACTCAGACATGGCCGTCCACATGGGGGACTGTCCCCAGCCGTGAGCAGGCAGGAGCCCCACCCGGCCTGACCCGGCTGCTCCTGGACACTGCGTGCCCAGGGAGCGACGCCAGACAGAGGCCACGCAGGGCAGGACCCCGTTACGTGACATGCCAGGACCAGGCAGCCCACAGGGACAGGGAGGGAACGCATGGGCACAGGGCTACTTGGGGGGTGAAGAGGAGGCTTTAAAACTAAACAGAGGTGACAGTTACTCAAGAATGGAAAAGTACAAAATGCAGGGGCCAGCAGGTGGTGTGGCGGCTGGGGCGCAGGACTCCCACGTGGCCGACCACGGATCAAGTCCCAGACCTGGCGGCTTGCTTTCTTACTTTCCCTCTCTCTCTTATTTATAATAATAATAATAATAATAAAGATTAAATAAATGTTTTTAAAAATATCCCAAAGAGGGAGAGATGGAAAAGGGTTGAAGTGTGGCCCCCCATGGGGGAGGCTTTCCCCTCTCCCTGTCTCTCTGTCTCTGTCTCTCTGACAAGTGCTTGCGCCCTCTAGGTCAAACTATGGCACAGGTGGTAGGGCACCGCCTCGTGAGGCTTGGAGGCATGGGAGACCAGGGTTCGAATCCCAGGCCAACCTACTCCGCCTGGCAGGGCAGCATGCGCCCTAGTCCTGGTGAACCGGGAGGGTGGAGCGGGTCGGAACACCAAGGTCCTGGTAAGGATGCCCCTCCTCCCTCCTCTTTTTCTCTCACTAAAAAGGAAACAAAAGAAAACAAAAAGGCACCTTTCCTGTGCCTCCTGATTCTTTTGAAGTTGTTGCCCTGGGTGCCTGCACTCCCGGGAGGGAGAGTCAGACGGGGAAGGGGAGCGCTCGCCCCGCAGGAATGGCCACGGCCACCGCCACGTCGCATTCCCGTCCCCGTTCTCCTCCCTGGGCCCGCAGACACGGATGCCTGCTGTGGTTTTCAGACGCCGAGTCCAGGACTCGAACCGTGACTGGCCATGCGGGAGTCCGGCACCCTACCTACCACGCCACGTGCTGGCCCCACTTTTCTCTCTATTTTTTCTTAAAGAATCATTTTATTTAGCTACTTATTTATCATTATTCTTTAGAGAAGTTTTTGCTATAGGGTGTGTGCACTTACCAGACAGACAGACAGAGAGCGAGAAATCACCCCCCAGGGGCGATGGCCACGCCGCCATCCCTTCTCCTCCGTTCTCCTCTCGGGATCTTTGGCACGCGCGCACACGCACACATGCCCGGCGTGAGTTCACGCCACCAGGTCTGGGACTCGAACTGCGGTCGGCTCCGGAATGAGCCATTACGCTAACGGCTGGTCCCAGCTATGTCTTTCTTTCAGTTTGACCAGAGAGGGGCAGAGCAAGAGGGAGAGAAAGAGAGGCCCGGGACTTGAACCGCAGTTGGCCATGTGGGACCCAGCGCCCTCCAGCGCCCCGCCACCTGCTGGCCCTCCCTTTTTTGCCTTTAGTCTTGCTGTGGGGCTCTGAGCTGCCAGGTCTGGGTCAGACTAGAACCATGCAGTCGGCCATATGGGATCCAGCCCTTAACCTCCAACCACCTGCTGGCCCTCCTGTGCCTGTTCAAGGCTATGCAGAGCTTTAAGAGGCCAACACGCGGGGCCAGCAGGTGGCGTGGTGGCTCAGGGGCTGGGCTTCCCAGATGACCAACCACGGTTCGAGTCTCGGACCTGGCAGCTTGCCTTCTCGCTTTCCCCCTCTCTCTGGTGAACTCATGTGAAAGAATAATAATGATAAGACATAAAATAAATAATGTTTTTAAAAAGGCTAACACAGAAGAGTAAGTCTCCTAAAACCCGGAGATGAGACTCTCAAGGTCGGTTTTGGTCCCTGAGCGGAGTCACAGCTGAACAGGAATCTGTCCCCACTCCCACGGTTCGGAGAACAAGTGCCACGTGGAAACGGAAGCCCTGCTCGGACGTCCGCAGCCGTGTGCAGACCCGTCTGGGGATCTTGCTAGTGCTTCCCCTTAGGAAAGGAGATCTGGAAACTTCCGTGTTCTCGGAGCGCGGAGACACCTGGAGCAGTATGCGGGGCTTTTTCTAGAAACGACTGGCGATAAAACAAAAACTCAAGAATTTTTCTTCTGTTTGTTTAAATGGTCATTTACAAATGTTTTTGGGAGCCAGCAGGTGGTGGGCTTGTTGAGGTGCTGGACTCCCACATGGCCAACTGTGGTTCGAGTCCCAGACCTGGCGGCTGACTTTCTCACCACCCGGCAACTAAAATCTCACGCCGGGCGCGTGTGCGTGCGTGCCCAAGATCCCGAGAGGAGAATGGAGGAGAAGGGATTGTGGCGTGGTCATCTCCCCTGGGGGGTGATTTCTCTCTCTCTCTCTCGCTCTCTCTCTCTGTCTCTCTGCAGGGAGTGCGTATACCCTACAGCAAAACTAAACCAGAGAGAGAGAATAGAGGGGCAGATAGGGACACAGCCGGGAGGGCAGAGAGCCCTGGAGCCGAGGGTGGGAGCCGCGCCTGGACAGCGAGGACTGGGCGCTGGATGACAGTCCTCCCGCCCTGCCCTCAACACCCTCTCTGCTCTCAGGTGGGGCCCATCGAAGCCACGTCCTTCACCCTCAGAGCCGTGCGGCCGCGAGCCAGGTACTGCGTCCAGGTGGCAGCCCAGGACCTCACAGACTACGGGGAGCCCAGCGACTGGAGCCTCCCTGCCACGACCCCCTGACCGTGGGCACGCGGGGGCTCCCCCATGCCCCGAAAGACAGCTGGGTCTCCGCCGTCCGCCCCGCCTGGGTTCGAGTGTTGGTTTCGCTGCTGAGTAACCTTGCCCAGCGACTCTGCCTCCCCAAGCCATCCCAGTCCGCGTGATGGGGTGGACGTGGCCCTTGGGGCGTCGCGAGCTGTGACTGAGAGGTCTCCATTACTGCTTGATTAGAAAAGAACCTTTGTTGGAATCAGGACCCCACCTTCGCTCAGATCAGACGGGAGGGCTCAGCCCTGGCCCCTGGGGGAGTCTGAGACGGGAAGGACATGGAGGGCCCAGCCTGGGGGCACTGGCTTGGTCAACTGAACTGCAGCGCTGGAGGCCCCATGGCGGACGTGTGTTCGGAGCCCCAGGCCAGCCCGAAAGCGTGTCGGGTGCGTGTGCCCCAAATCCTACGGAGTGGGGCGAGGGAATCGTGTGACGGCCTCTGCTCACGTGTCTCTGTCGGTTGCGCCCTCGCGCCCTCACACGCATGAGCTCTCTACTGTGTTTATCGTAAACGCAACACAGAAACGTTCATTAAGAAAAGGGGCCAGCCCCATGGCTGAGTGCTTAAGAAAGCTGGAGCCCCGGGACCAGCAGATGGTGTAACGGATACGTCGCTGGACTTCCTCGTAGCCGACTACGGTTCAAGTCCTGGACCCAGCAGCTTAAAACTCACACCGGGAAGCCAGCATGTGGTGTGGTGGTTGAGGTGCTTGACTCCTACATGGACGACTGTGGTTCGAATCCTGGACCTGGTGACTTGCTTTCTTACTCCCTCTTTTTCTCTGGTCAAATTTAATAATAAATAAGTAAATACAGTTATAATTATTTTAAAAAGAGATTTTCTCTGGCTTTCATTTGTGATCCTAGGATCAGAATGTACTACACTTCATTGAACAGAACCAGAACCAGAACCATGAGCCAGACGGAGGTGGGGCTTTTACAGACAGACGGGGCCCAGGAAGCAGAAGCGGAGGATGAAAAGGGACCAGTCATTTCCGAATCCCTCTCCCTGGAAGGTGGGGACCGGGAGACAGATTAATGGAAAATAACTGGGTGGTTAATATCTAGTTACTTTAAAAAACAAAACAAAACAAAACCTCCTGTCATCGATGTCTCCTACATAATGATCACACGTCCTTGAAACTCTTGGGCACTGCGGGAGGTGACGCCACCGTGCACAGCCACAGGGAAACACGCGACACAGCCGCCTTCCCACTCGGTCATCCCACGGCTGCGTACATGCCAAGGACAGGAAGTCCACGTGTTGGCGAGGTATCCTCATGTCCAGGTTTTGGAGAGCTATTTACAACAGCCAAGATGTGGGGTCAGCCTAAGTGACCAACTACCAATGGGTAGAGAGAGACAATGTGCCTCATAATCACCGTGGAATACTGTTCAGCCACAAAAAAGGAGGGACCCGGGGCCAGCAGGTGGCATGATGGTTAAAGGTTCATGATCCCCACATGGCTGACTGCGGCTTTAGTCCCAGACCTGGCGACTTCTTGCTTTCTCACTTTCCCTTTCTCTCTCTCTCTCTCTCTCTCTCTGGTCAAATGATTAGAATAATAATAACAGGGGACCAGCAGGTGGCATGGTGGTTAAGGGGCTGGAGGGCGCTTGTTGGTTAAGGGGCTGGACACTCCCACATGGCTGACCACGGTTCAAGTCCTGGACCTGGCGGCTTGTTGTCTCTCTCTCTTGTCAAATTAAAATAAAATAAATGAATAAATAAAATAAAGAACAAATGGAATTAAATAAATGATTTTTAAAAAATTATTTTATTTATTAATTCATTTATTTTAATTCAACCAGAGAGAAACACACACACACACAGAAAGTGAGAAAGCAAGCTGCCAGGTCCAGGACTTGAACCATGGTTGGCCATGTGGGAGTGTCCAGCGCCTTAGCCACCACACCATCTGCTGGTCCCCAATAAATTATTTTTTTAAAGGATGGATCCCTGTCATTTGCGGCAAATGGGAGGACATCGGGTTGCTTTTTGTTGTAAGAATGAAAAGCAGAGGGCACTTCATTTGCCGGCTGTTCTAAACTGGCCTGTTTGGCGATTTGGCCAGCTCGCGCCCTCTCTCGGTCTCGCTCTCGCTCTCTCTCTCTCCTGATGCCTCAGAGAGTCGGCTACAGTCTAGGTCCTCCCTGGAGATGTGGAACTGCAGCACGAGTGAGCCCGTGTCGGTCCAGCCCACAGACACCTAGTGCTGGAATTCACCCCCAAACAAGGGCTCCTGTTCGCTGTATTTCACGGCCGTTTCAAACGTGCTCTCCTTGTAAAGGTGAAAGCAGGGAGTTTCCTTATCACAACGCCTACACTTGGCCTGTTAGGCCCTGTCATCTGTCCCTCTTCTCTGATCTTTTAGAAAGGCAAGTGAAAAGCTAAGTCTCACCTTGAGACACAGAACTTCGCCTGAGCTAGTCCACGTTGGCTTGGTCTCTTAGGGCACATGGAAGAGCTCAGGCCAAACCCCTGGACTCCTGTGAATTTTACCTCGAGCACTGACACATTGTATGATCTGCAGCTGATTCGCCAGGACCAGAGGGGGTCCTTGGTTTGTCTGTCACTTGCCTCAAGGAGACAACAGACCCGACAACTGAGTCGTTTGCCAGCTGCACGGAGCAGCCCATGACTACAACACCAGGTCTTGATGCAAGAGGAGTTTTATTGCATAGCCAACCAGCAGGGGGACAGGGACACCCCAGACACTGTCTCCGGGTGGGGAGGGAGCGCAGTCTTTTATAGAGCAATAAGCTAGAGGGCCATGGGGTGAGGTGGTTTGGTAGTTACACATTGGTCGGTGCTAGGGGCCTCCTAAACTTACAGGCGTTCTAGTCCCGGCTGCAACAATTGACTGCACCCTGCCTTTCTGCTCTTCTCCCCACAAACCCAAGTCCTAACCTTTAACTCCCCTTGCAACCGGCGTTTTCATTCCCAGGTGAGTGCTCACATGCAGCAGGCCAGCCTACAGTGAACAGAACGGGGGTTTCTGTTTAGGCCAGCTCTAGCTGCTCTCTATAGCGGTCCCTAGAGGCGCAGGAATCTCATGCCTCGTTTTCTGATGTGTTCCCAGTTTGTGAAAACAGTATCTGACGTAGGTACATACATCAAATGCGCAAAGAAGCTGGGAAGGAAGGAGGTGGGATGTCTTCTTCGAAGGGAAGATGCGGGCGGCAAGAGACATTTGGGAGACCCTCAGTGTGTCTGGGACGTGAGTTTGGAGCCGGATACTTAAGCCTATGCCTGTGGCTCCAGATAAGCATAGTTGGGGCGTCCATGTGTCCCCAGATTGTAGCCCCCAATGTGAGCGCTCAGGGCGCAGGAAGGCTGTGTGAGTTCCAAGGCTCAGCAAACCAGGTAGGTACTAAAAAAAAAAGTGCATAGAGAACTTCACGACTAACAGCAGTCCAGTCATGCCACTAACTTATTTATTTAATTCCATTTGTTATATAAATTATTATTATTATTTTAACTTAACCAAAGAGAAACAAAGGGAAAAGTGAGAAAGCAAGCCTCGAACTCATATTTCCCTTGTGAGAATCCACCACCCTGAACCGCCACGCCACCTGTTAGACCAGGCGCAGGAATCTCATGCCTCGTTTTCTGATGTGTTCCCAGTTTGTGAAAACAGTATCTGACGTAGGTACATACATCAAATGCGCAAAGAAGCTGGGAAGGAAGGAGGTGGGATGTCTTCTTCGAAGGGAAGATGCGGGCGGCAAGAGACATTTGGGAGACCCTCAGTGTGTCTGGGACGTGAGTTTGGAGCCGGATACTTAAGCCTATGCCTGTGGCTCCAGATAAGCATAGTTGGGGCGTCCATGTGTCCCCAGATTGTAGCCCCCAATGTGAGCGCTCAGGGCGCAGGAAGGCTGTGTGAGTTCCAAGGCTCAGCAAACCAGGTAGGTACTAAAAAAAAAAGTGCATAGAGAACTTCACGACTAACAGCAGTCCAGTCATGCCACTAACTTATTTATTTAATTCCATTTGTTATATAAATTATTATTATTATTTTAACTTAACCAAAGAGAAACAGAAAGGGAAAAGTGAGAAAGCAAGCCTCGAACTCATATTACCCTTGTGGGAATCCACCACCCTGAACCGCCACGCCACCTGTTGGACCCTATGCAGCTAATTTTAACAAGCCACTGCAGACCATCCTAGGGCAAGCAGCAGCTCCTCGGACAGTCCCCGGAACCTTTACTTCGTACCATTGGAGTTGCAACTGCGACCGGAACACAACAGGACCTGGAATTTGATAGGCGGGGATGGCACCCAATGAAAACGAAAAGTTGTGTAAGCGTCAGCCAATAACAGGGGCCGGAGGAAGTGACGTTTCCGGAAGTACAGGGTACTGTAAACGCGCAATAAATACCAAGCCTAACGAGTTGTCTGGTGCTCGTGAGACGAGTAGGAGGCCAAGATGTCGGAGCGGAAAGTTTTAAACGTAAGTATAGGGCGACTAGAGCTTTTCAAGTGACGTGGGACATCCGGAAAGTCCAGGAAAGTGGGGCTTCCTGTAGCCTCCTCCTTGAACCCCTTTCTTTCTCAGCGGCCTTCCGCATGACGGGTCTCCCCAGCTCCTCCCATTCATCCTGCGTGGGGGGTGGGCCTTCGCCAAACCGTCTTCTCCGGGCTGGGAAATGCCCAATCACCGGTGGTGGTGGTGGGGGTGGAGCTCGAGCTACTTATGCAATCGCTTCACCTGATTGGGTTTTCCGAAGGGGATTACCCAATCACATTTCTTATGGGGCGGGGTCTCCCGCTAACCAATGGGATCCCAGCCTAAAAACACGCCCTGCACCTGTTCTGCTGGTGGGGGCCCTTTCAGTGGTCTCGGCTGCTCCCCACAAACTACTGGGGGAAATCCAGGCTCTGCTCGCCCACGGCCCCAGTCTCTATGCCACACACACACCCCGAGTTATGTAGCTAGAGCTGAAACCTGCAAAACTCAGTTTCCTCCCCCAAAATGAGCCCGTTGCTCTCCCCTCGAGTCTTTGCAAGGCGTCAGTGAAGCCCGCGAGACGAAGCGCTGTGTAGTACCTGGGCGCCCAGTGGGTGCTTAGAGCCCTCACTGCTTTATTTTCTGGGCATCCCACGGAGTCATTTTCCATAATGCCGCCTCAGCTCCTGTGCAGAAGTGATCTTGCTGTAGGTTTTTTCCTGCAGGTCTTGCCCGTGGCGGGCATCTGGGAGCTTGGATTTCAGGCGGTTCTCAGTTTCCTGCCAAGAATGACTGTGGGTCCTCAAACCGCGTGTGCCCAGTGTGGTTTACACAACCCCGCTGTCCTTCCAGGAGTCTGGAATCTTGGCACTTGCTGGGCAGAGGGTCCCGTGTGACCAGCCCCCGGTGGAGACCGTGGGTCTTTCTGAGCTTCCCGGGTTGGCATTTCACACGTGTTGTCTTAACCCATCTGGGGAACGTCACTGACCCTGTGTGACTCCTGGGAGAGCCCGGAGAGGGATCTGGAAGCTATGCCGTTAGCCTTTGCTAATCACGCTGTTATTCCACCGTAATAAACGGTGGGGCCAGCGAGTGGCTTGGAGGGTAAGGCACTGGACTTCCATATGGCCGACTACAGTTCCAGTCCCAGACCTGTGGCATGAAATTCACTCCAGGGGTACATGTGCATGCCCGTAATCCCAGGAGGAAAGTGGGGAAGATACTGTGGCCTGGCCATTCCCCCATGGGAGTGATTTCTCATTTTCCCTCTCAGTGTCTCTCGGTCTCTGTCTCTCTAGCAAGTGCACACACCTTGTGACAAAAACCTAAAAAGAAAAGGAAAAGAAAAACATGCCAGGTGCACGTGCCCAAATCCCAGAGGACAGTGGAGGAGAAGGGATCGCAGCGTAGCCATCCCCCTTGGGGGCGGGGTGATTTCTCACTTTCTCTCTTTCTCTGTCTCTGTCTGGTGAGTGCACGTGCCCTGTAGTAAATTGAAAAAAAGAGTTAAAATATACCCACGGCTATGAAGACGACATGGATTCCTAGGAGTGCTCCCTGCACTGGGCCTGGTGTGGTCCCAGGGACCCTCATGCAGCTCCCAGAGCCCCTGCCCTCTGGGAAGCCTTTCCTGCTTCCGAAAGCAGCGCCCCCTAATGCTTCCTCCTTCTCTGCAGAAATACTACCCGCCGGACTTCGACCCGTCCAAGATCCCCAAACTCAAGCTCCCCAAAGACCGGCAGTACGTGGTGCGGTTGATGGCCCCCTTCAACATGAGGTGAGCACCCCCTGGGGCCCCTCCCCAGTTGTGACCGACGGAGCTGGTGTCGAGACCCAGGCCTGGGCTGCAGCTCAGACCCCGGCGTCTCCACGCCGTTCTGTCCTCACCGTGAGTCAGGGTCAGACCCCGGACAGCCTGGAGCCCAGCTGGTGCCTGCATGAGGGCCTGACCCTCCCTAAGCCTGTGGGCCCAGAGACAAGTACAGAGCCCCCTGCTCGCCTCTCACTCCCAGCAGCCGGGCACGTTCCTGCCTCGGGGCCTTGGCGCCTCGGGGCCTTGGCGCGGGCCAGTGCCTCTGCCGGGGGCAGTCCTGCCCGCTCTCGTCGGGCCGCTCCTCTTCACCCTTTGGTCTCGGCTCAGGTCTCGCCCCTCCCGGAGGCTCCCTCGATGCCCTCACGGTATCCAGATGTCTTCCTTTTTATCACGTCACAGCCTCTTCTAACCCCCGTAGCTGTTGCCGTTCTAGCACGTCTGGGATCGTGCACGCCCCGCCAGAGGCACCGCGGGTCCTTGGCATTCTGTCCACACTGACGTGCCGTCCGCCTGTCCGTCTGTCCGTCTTGTCTGTCCGCTTCGTTCGTTTCATTCCTTCATTCCGTCGTTCCGGCACCTGCTGCATGCCAGGGTCGGTGACACGTGCCAGAGACCAAGGCCTCCTGGGGCCCACGGTGTCACGGGGAGTGGAGGGGACTCTCCAGGCTCAGGCAGGAGAGAGGCCCATGGCGGCAGGGCCGGGCGGCGGGCGCTTCACCGGGCCAGTCAGGAATCTTCAGGACAGACTAGAGGAGCTGTGGGGAGCCCGGTGTGGAGGCCCAGGCAGGACTGAGCAGGCGTTCGCAGGGGCAGGAGGCGCCGGCATCCAGGCCCGCGTGTGACAAGGGCAGGTGGCGGGGGCCGCGCCCACAGCCTGCTCCTAGTCCATGTGTTTCCACGGAGGCCACGTCCGAGGGGCCGAGCCCCAGCAGATGGGACTGGGGAGAAGCGCTTAGCGGGTCGGGGTCTCCCGAGGGAGGGCACTGCCTGGCACCGGAAGCCGGCCTGCAGTGGCACCGGAGCATCGCCCGGCAGCCGCAGCCACAGCCCCCGGCCAGCGCGTCCCCGTCTGCCCCGCAGGTGTAAGACGTGCGGCGAGTACATCTACAAGGGCAAGAAGTTCAACGCGCGCAAGGAGACGGTGCAGAACGAGGTGTACCTGGGCCTGCCCATCTTCCGCTTCTACATCAAGTGCACGCGCTGCCTGGCGGAGATCACCTTCAAGGTGCGCGCTGGGCCGGGGCCTCCCCCTGCAGGCAGTCCTCCGGAGACCCGCTCGGGGAGACGCGCAGGGCACTAGCCTGTCGGGGCGGAAAGCGGACACGACGGAGGTGTCAGTCACGGGGGAGCGGAGCGAGCAGGCTGCATCCCGCCGGGCTGACTGCACAGTTCGAGTCCTGGGCCTGGCAGCTTGAGAAACAGGCCGGGCATGTGTGTGCACCCCAGATCCCGAGAGAGTGGAGAAGGGGCTGCGGCGTGGCTGTCCCCGGGGACCTTCTCACTTGCCCTCTCTCTGGCAAGCGCGTACCCCTGTGGCAGAAGCTAAGAACGACAGCAGGAGATGGGACATGCATTGCCGTGTGATGGGACCTGGCGGAGCCTGTGAGAGGCACGTCTTCAGTTATGGGTCCCTGAAGGATTGGGGAAGGGATGAGAATTCAGAATTTCCTCTTCCTGGGGAGTCAGCAGATGGTGTAGTGGTTATGTTGCTGGACTCCCACGTAGTCCACGCAGTTTGAGTCCCAGACCCGGTGACTTAAACTCACTCCAGGCACGTGTCTGTGGGTGTCCAACATCCCAAGAGGAGGACAGAGAAGGGGAGGCAACATGGCCATCTCCCCGGGGGGCGATTTCTCGCTCTCTCTGTTTCCCTCTGTGATTGTGGCAAGCACGTGCATCCTATAGCAAAAATCTCTTAAAAATAGTCTTCTCTTCCTATGCTTCTGTGATAGTTGGGTATCTTTTTTGCCACGAGCTTTTTATCTTTGATTGAAACATAAGATGTGGTTGAAATGTACAGAAAGTACATTTAAAATGGTACATTGTGGGGCCGGCCCATAGTGGTTAAGGCAGCCAGGTCCCACACGGGAGCTGACGTCTGCCCATCTTCCCTCCCAGACAGACCCGGAGAACACGGACTACACCATGGAGCATGGGGCCACGCGGAACTTCCAGGCCGAGAAGCTCCTGGAGGAGGAGGAGAAGCGAGTGCAGAAGGAGCGGGAGGACGAGGAGCTGAACAACCCTATGAAGGTGAGCTGGGGCCGTGCGCGCGTGAGTGTGCACGTGTGTGTGTACAGGGGTGTGCACATACGTGTGTGTACAGAGAAGGAGAAGCGGGTGCAGAGGAGCGGGAGGACGAGGAGCTGAACAACCCCACAAAGGTGAGCTGGGTCTGTGTGCACGTGAACATGTGTGAAAGGACAGCTGTGCACCGTGTGTGAGCGTGCAGGTGTGTACGCTGTGTGAGAGGACAATCGCGTGCTGTGTGTGATTGCAGGTGTGTGTGCCGTGTGAGGTCAGGCGTGCACCCTGTGAGGGGATGGGGTGTGAGGGGACAGGCACGCACCGTGAGATGGGACAGGTGTGCGTGCTGTGCGAGGGGACAGGTGTGCGCGCCATGTGAGGGGACAGGCGTGCGCCATGCAAGGAGACAGGTGTGCGTTGTGCGAGGGGACAGGTGTGTGCGCCATGCGAGGGGACAGGTGTGTGTGCCATTAAGTGGGAGTTCAGGTGTGCACTGCGTGTGTGGCCAGCGGGTGTACGTGGGGGATGCCGTGATGGCGAACTCCGTAGTGGCTCGGATTGTGGCTGTGTCGCTGCACCCGGCGTGTTCACTCTGGCCCGGGCCCACCTCCTCCGCAGCAGAGGCACTCCCCGTGTGCTATGGCTGCTGGGCCGGGCCCACCTCCCCACAGGAGGGAGACCTCAGAGACTTGGCCGTCACGGTTGCCTCTCCTGGGTCAGTCCAACACGGCCCCGCCGCTGGGACGCATCAGGCGGGCTCACACCAGGCCTGCTTGCTCCAAAGCCACCTCGCCCAGACCCGGGGTGGCCGGCCGTGCCTCCCTGGGCCTCAGTTTCCGTTTCTATAAAGTGGGGGAAGTGGCGGGGGGGGGTGA